AACAGGGGGCAGGCATTAAGACCACTTATATTCTCATCAGCTAACTAGCCACATTCATTTCTCAAAATTCCAGTCAAAAAGAAAAATGACTTTACTAAACAGGCCCTATCTCAGGGTCTATTATGTATACCTTCATAAACTTTCTACCTAACACATGCGGAAAGTGTCTTTCCTGGACTTAAAGGCTTGCCTGAACTCTGCTTTTTGTTGTCATTGGTGCAACTTCCATCACGTGCAGAAAAGTAGGTATTACTTTCCTCACTTGTTAGGTAAATAACGATTGTGGATTGTGAGAAAAGGACCTCTTTTGTCATTTCATTTACGATTTATGTTTTCATCAAGCTATTGTTAAATGTATGTCATTACTAATTGTACTGTCCTTAACTTAACTAGCATTACATATGTATGTAGCGTAGTTACATGAAAAAAAAACTGTTTCTCAATAATTTTAATTAATTCCATTATATTTTCCGTTCCAAATTTTAATAAATATATAAATTTGTCATCCTAATTCTTAGTCGATTTTGTCTTAAAGGCGATTCAACGCTACCGATTTTATGAGTTCCTTCTATTTTATGCCAAAAAATAGTAGAAACTTTGAAGTGGTGGTGTTGAATCGCTAGAATCTAACGATGGTGCAAACGATCCACCGGAACGAATAGGATACCGAACGAACCCTAATTGCGTTTTGCATTCGCCAATAAATCCAGAATTACAAAAGCTGCCCCCTCCAGTCACTAGAGGCGCTGAAAACTTATAGACAGGTTCTCAACATGGCAGTTACCTTTCTAAGGGGGGATGTTTTGTGGGAAGCAATTTCCGCCATTTAACATAATGAGTGCGACAAAAACAGGTATCCCCTCCGCAGCAGCGGCACTAGGCTTCACGTTCGTCAATATGTGTTCGCATTCCAGTTTTTGGTTATAGTTCATTGACAGTGACTCTATAACCCACAGTGGCGACAATTGCTGTCTCATTTTTGATTGGTTCTCAAATCGCATATATTTATATTGAAAACACCGCCATCTTGTTCCCAACCCCTTGTTACTTTCAAATATGAATATATGGGATTTAGTTGAACATTCATCATAAATCATGGAAAACAACGTATTTGATGGACCTAATACTGGTCATCAAATACGTCGATTTCAATTTTTTATGATAGATGTCCATTTAAATCTTATGTATATAAATATTTAAAAGTAACAAGAGGTTGGGAACAAGATGGCGGCGGGACCTCTATTGTCGCCACTGTATGTAAAGGTTTATTTAGCCACTGTACTCCGCAGCAGCTGCACTAGGCTTCACGTTCTTTCTTATGTGTTACCATTCCAGTTTTTGGTTATAGTTCATTGTTATTTGATGCTCATGAAATTCTGACGTTTTACTTGATGTTTTTATTTTGCAATGTAAATGATAAAATATCAAACGTCAAATTTAACTTGAAGTTGGAAGTGAATGTAAATGCTCCTTCAATCTTATTCAAAAACTTTGACAGGCCCTATATTAATTCAGGTGCTGATGTACCATTTTTCAAAGTTACTTGAAAATATAATTTTGTCAAGTAATATTTTTATATGGAGTAAATTTTAAATAGGCAATTACTCTATAGACATTGATTTCCGACGTGGGTAACTCAAAAACTTTAAAATTAGTTTGAAAAAGGACTTTTTCTACAAACGTCACTAAAAGTGTAGTTTTTAACGGATGCTGTCAGTGTCTAAAATGCCATTTTTTGACACTGGTGCTAAAAGTGATGACTTTTAGCACTAGTGCTAAAAGTAATCACTTTTAGTGCGTGTGTAGAAAAAATAGTGTATGATATTCGTGCTAAAAGTGATTTTATTTTGTTCAAAGGGATGGAACACTCCGCCTTCGGCGTCGTGTCCCAAACTTCCCTTTTCACAAAATAAAATGTCACTTTTAGCACTTATATCATAAATAACTATTATAGAACTAAATGTAAATTCGTTCACTTGGTCTTGTACTTATTTATGTCAGCCCTGTGTTTTACAGCTTATGGGTAACCTCTGGATGCACAGATTATATTATCCTTGCTTTCTCGCCTTGGCGTAGACTGTTGCAAGACGCAAGTGAAGAAAAAGCTGTTGATTTTTCCTGCGCTTTTTAATATACATCAACAAGTACTTAAAATATGGAAAAAAGATCATGTGCAGCGCGGTACACGTGGTAGAATTAGTGAAACGGAACATTTATCCCCCTCACATACAACTTTTAGACTTAGCATATGAGTCGAGGTAAAGACGAAGGGAAACGCGCATCTGTAGTGACACGTCACAACGGAATCGGCACAGATTGGTATCGGCGCTAAACAATAGTTTATAATCCTTGGTTTGTGTCAATCATTCGTCGGCTATCATTGTCATTGGCTGTCTTTCTCCGTTCCTCTACGTTATATATTTCTTCTCTCAGTTCTCTCTCGTTAAACCAAATTTGCCAAAACGTGACGTGTCTTTCAAATTAGTTTCTATTGTGGTCTAAATATCAGACCGCCGCCCAAGCAGTTTTACTTCAAAAAGCATAAGCCACAAATGCATGAATAACGAAAATAATCACAAGGCACAATGATAATAGTAGGTACAACAAAAGGGAGGCGCGCATCTGTAGTGATGTCACAAGGGTATCAGTGATTGACAATAATAGGCAATCCTCTTTGCGCTTATAATCCTTGATTTGTGGCAATCAATGGCTGTTTTTCTCCGTCTCTAATATCATTTTTGATAATATTTCAATAATTTAAATATACAGTCAAACTCGTTTATAACGAACACGGCATAAAACGAACTCTCGGTTATAACGGACAAAAATAAAATCCTGAAAAAAAAATTCAATAGGTCTGTTTCTGCAGAAATCACAAACCAGTCAGAGCGAATTCCATTGGTTGATTAACTTGAAGTTAACATGCCCTTCATGTAGATAATCCAATATATCAGTATCTGACTTTTCAAGGAACCATGTGAAGAAACCATGCGAAAAATACTCTCTATACCTATACCTATATTTACGAACTAGTCGAAAACGTGGTACCTAAAGTAGATCATAAGCTTGAAATTTATTCCAAATTTACAAATTAAAGGTTCATTTTGATATTCGAAACTTTTAGCTATGCCGACAAACGGTATAGTTTAATAACAAATATTCTTTTCTTCTCATAAATAATTCAAATGTTACCTAATTTAAGACTTTTAAGAGGCCTAGGTACGCAGCGGAATAAAGTTTGTCAGTTTTTCAATTAATATAAATATGTTAATAAATACCTGAGACTAGATTTCTGAATTAGGGAGAGTAGTGCACCATTCCTAAAAGATCTTTATTATAAAGAAGTTACAGCCAAAACTCAAATTCACCAGCCAATACGTTGGACCTAGGTCAAAACTAAAATTACCTGGGTCCTTGAAATAAGTTTAGTAAAAACAATACAAGTTTTGTGACGTTGGTAGGTACCTACACAATGTTTTTATAGGTTGACAACTGTAAAAAATGCGTTTCGGTCTGAGGTGAAGGAGGAGGAAAAAAAACGATATGGAAATACACAGTTGCAATGGAATAGAGCGTGATTAAAATATTAGTTCGCATATTTGTCTGGTCGCACATTACTGGAACAATTTCGGAACAGACAAACTGTCAGGGCATTATGCATTGCAAATGATTCCTGCACTACGCTTGAATTCGCAAGCATAACGTGCATACTTATTTGATGATTTGAAACTAATCCACTTAGACCACATACAGTTCCCAATAAAACTACAGTAACGAAAACTTCCTCTATTTAATTCTTGGTTGGCTGCCAATAGTGCCAATACCAATAATAATTATTCAGATCCATTATCCATCTATTTTTATCTGCGATAAAACCGGAAGCCTGTAGAAAATATATCTGTGACCCAATTAGCACTAAAAAATTGGGTCACGCGTTGGAAAAATCGATCTAATAAACAACCCCTTTTCAGCATAATGAAGACGGTGAAAAAACACATTAAGAGGCCCAGAGGCACAGGACAAGTCCTAGAATTCAGCAAACAATAAGCGAAAAAATAAGAATATTGGGGTCAAGTGAGCAAATTAACAACCCATAATAATTCAAAGTAGTTTTACGAAATTACATTGGTTTAGATTGTGGAGAAGCCCGCGCTATCCTTACGAGCCGAACGCGAATTTTCAGGAATACACAACATTCTACATGTTTCTCCATTGAATGGTTCTGTCTGTATAATACATCTAAAGCGCGTAGTTTGTAACTTGCAGTCAATTTATTTTTTAATGAGAGAATTGTTGTTTAAAGTTACTTAAGTAAAGGTGATAAGCGATGAGTGAATTTTTGTAAAGTCAATTATTATGAGTTCAAAGTTGTTAGCAGAGTTTCTGAGGACCTCTGTGGAATCCGTGACAAGTTGGGAGTCAGAAGTGGGATTATTGCCAGACAATTAGTTGGTGTACCTATTAATTTTAGCTAATCAATGAAATTACTGTATAGATAGCCAGTGGATTCATCTAATTAGGGGAATAATTAGCGAGATGAGTAATTAGTAATAGTATAGATTGATTTGAGCTAATTAGAGGCAACAAATGTAGTTTTCTGCGTTAGTGACTACTGATTTCGAAAACATGAGAAGATGACAAATGACAATCCTGAAAACATGAGAAAATTACGATTCCGGAAACAGAAATTGACGGTCGATGCACTTTTCGTTCTAATGCTTTTATGGCTGTCTTATCAATAAATTATTAACACACTCTGTTATTCCAACGATACACTTTGACATAATTTTTCGATGGGCACGGGATTTCTTAACTTTGCTATTTCATTCCAGAACCAAAATACATAATGATATCAACTTATTTGCAAAATGGTATTTCATTGTATCTGAGTTGTAAGACATGAAGTTATATGTTACCTAGTTTTATAATAGTATCGAGGCTCTTAATACAGTAAACAAACATGACATAAGCGCCGATTTTAGGAAATTCCATCACAATCGCCCGGCGTTTTGTCACAGAATTAAAATAGTAAAGCGGTCGATTCGTGTATCTGATTATGTAGAAATTCAAGGCGGTCTAGAATTTATAATTTTATCTATTTTTGTTGGTATACACATCGAGGAGGATCATTAAACAGTGTTAAACTTGTGTATTAGCAAGAAACAACGTTTCAGTGACCAATTTTTTTTATCGTAGCCATTTATTGAACGCTTGAACGGTGAGTTGAATTCAATTTTTAATACATAAGATTAGATGGGTCTTAGTGAGATGGGTCATGACATACATTTTATATGAATGGCATACCTACAATTTAATGGCATTTTATATAAAAAGCATAATTTTAATGAAAATTTCATGAATGAAATTTTTGTTTGATGTTGTTGACTGGTTAAGATACCTACCTATTCATATCCTAATCCTAATTATAATCAATGTTTGATTTAAGGTCTTATCTACTACTTAAATGGTGGATTTGCTTTTATTTTCATGGTCGATGGGCCCATGTTTTTTTCGTTGGGTCAAGGATCAATCTCTCAAATCTCGTCTTTAATTTAAAGAAAAAATATTTTTAGTAGTGACCATGAAACCTTCAGATTTCATATAAGTGCCTACCTATCTATGAATGTGTTTGTTTTGTGTAATAAATTTGAAATTTACCATCTGCGATCAAAACCTGTCTAAAAGCTATGCCTAAAGAAGGTGTCGAAATTTTGATTGGTTGTGGAGATATCAGAAATTAAACGAAAGCTGCCAAATTTTAACTCCGACGTTTTGTATTCTAGCCTCCATCATCGATCTATTTTTTTTGTAATATTTTGTAGATGTTTTATTTGGTTTTTACTGTTTTTTTGTCACCTCCTCACCTTAGGCTATGAAAAGAGTTTAAAATTCCAGCTCGGTATTTACCTTATACTAATAAATCTATGATGATTTCAAAAGAACTGAACATCAAATTTGATAGAACATTTCAAATATTTCCCAAAAATATCTAAAAATGCTGATATCTCAAAAACGACAAAATTTTCCATAAGGGTAAATGTGGTCAAACAGCTCCCAAATGACGCCAACTTTCACTTATTGAAAACTTCCTATCGATGTACCAAACACCCTGTATATTTACACTTTATTACTAAAATTATTTCAATTTAAAATTATACCTATTCATTACGTATTGAATTGAACAGTCAATTTCTCTTACAGGAAAGATGTCAGAAAAACCCGATACTGTTCCCGGATTAGGATTCAAAGACAAAGAAAAGGCTCTGGAAACATTGCAAATCCTAGAAGGCAGAGATCCCGACTACCAAAAACTGGCCATCAAAGGTCTTATAGGAAGAGCTAAAAGGACCTTGACTTGTAAGTTTAGAATCATTCGACATTGGTTAATGAGTTATAAACCCTTTTTTTATTTTTAGTGACAAAAGATAAAGAAAAACTCGAAAATATTAACAGCGCCATGAAAATTTTCGATGATTGGCTAAAGAACTTCGAATTTAAAAACTTATCGAAAGAAAACAAAGCCTATCTACCTCTAGCTTCCGTTGAAGTATTCTTGCCACTTAAACAGAAATATGGAATTAAAAATGATTTGGCCGAAAAGTTTTTGAAAGCTTACAAAGAAAAAGCGAAAGGCGAATATAAAAGTTTGAGAACCGTCTCAAGCGGCGAAGATGAACCCACATGGGATATCGTAAGAAATAAGGAACTCAAGGAGATTTGGAAGAAGTTTGAAGAATCTCAACCTGATTTTTGGACGAGTGATGATCTGCCAACAAAAGAACACTTGCAACTTATTTTATGGGCTTACAGCCCTGAAGCCACTAAAATAAAGAAGAATATTTCAAGTTTTGAAGAAAAACTGGGAAGTAAAAGTAAGAATAATAAGGAAGATACTGAACATAAGGAGAAAAAATCAAATAAACGAAAATCTAAAGGAAGCAGTAGCAGTAGCAGCAGCGGAAGCAGTGATGAAGAATCTCCTAAAAAGAAAAATAAAAAATAATTATTATTCTTAAAAAAAATGCATTATAAATTGATTTTGATCACATAATGCTACTACTGATAATTGTTCATCTATAATAAAATAGGCGCCAGTTTCAATGGAACAAGTTTGTGTTTAAAAAGTACAATTGTTTAATTTAGTACAAAATATTCTGATACACAAAAGTATGTATTTTCAAAAATTTGTTGTTTCACTTACATTTTTGTAAATAAAATTATTACAGCCAGGTTTGTAGTATTTATAGGTAGGTACATGTCATACATCGTACTGGAAGTTTTTGCCCTACAGGTTCTTCTTGCTTGTCTTGAGGTCTGTAGCTCGTAATGCTAAGTGTATCAATGGTGCCTATTCGGGTTGGGTGAAAGTTATTGCCAAGGTACTCTTGCCAGCTCTAGCTTTTTCTAGAGTGTATTACACCAGTTTTACAACTCACTGTACATTATTCTCATATGACAGGAGAGGCTAAATAAGTGATAAGCCTTTTGGGATTATCGCGCTTGGTGGCATTTATAGCAAATTCTATTACCTATAGAAAAAAAATTAAATTTTAAAGCATTAAAGTTTAGTTCGTTGTATACCCTTTTGAATACCACTCGATGTTTCAGGATTACCCAATACTTTTACCTGACACTCAACGTGTTACCAGCAACACCACTCCTCCTTCGGAGTCGTGGTGTTGCTGCTTCTTCTACAGAAGTTTTATTACACACGTTTATAAACGAGCTCTTGAAAAATGTACTTTTTGGACTAGTTAAAGTGTGTGAAAAATATTGAAAGTGGTTTTAAAATAAAGTTTAAAAGTTCGTGTTTAATATTTGCGTTTAATCCACCCAAAATAAAGTACTGTACTTATCAAAACTTAACGAAAAGCTATCTACTCCCAATTGTAATAATTGTGAATTATAAAAAGTGTGTGTAGTTTTTTTATCTGCATTGGTGCCGGTTAAAACTGATAAGAAAAATACCTATATGAGTAATAAACCTATAAATATTTTAAATTGATGTTTTTTGTTCCTGCTTCGAGTTTTGTTCTGAAATGGCTTTTTCCTTTAAATGCTGCAAAAATAAAGCACAGAACAACTGGATATGTATGCTATGCCACAATGTTTTTCATAAGAGCTGTCGATCAAGACTCAACCTAAGTGTGGTAATAATTAAGGATAACCTAATACTATGTTCTGCTGAGTGCTCGAATTTAGCAAGTGGTTCGGACCCTGACATGATAGCAAGCTTGAAACAAATAATTGACGAGCTTAAAACTGAAATTCATGACAAAACAAACTACATTGATAGATTGAAACAGGATAAACAAACTCTATTAGAAGAGGCAGAATCTTCAGAAGACCAACTAGTTCAAGAAAATAATGACCTTAAACAAAAACTGGCTCAGTTGACACAACAATCGTTAAAGCAGAACACCAACGCATCAAAGAACTCAACGTCCTCATCAACTCAAACTTCTCTTCTAAGAAAAATCCTGTTTCAAGATAACTCTACTCAGACTAATTCTCACCTAACTAGCAAATCTGATGAAAAGCAAGAAGCCCTCATAGATGAAATAGCCGATCTAACAAATCTCAATAAACAAATGGTTACTACAGTGGAGGCACTAGATAGTGAAAACCTATTCCTCTCGAACGAGCTGAAAAATCTAAAAGAACAGCTTACTAGTATCCATGGTTCTCCCAGGAAGCTGAACCTAGCATCCTCCTCAAATAGTAATGGTATACTTGAAAGATCTCTGTTTGACGAACTATCGGTCATAGATCAGCAAATGAATAAAAATGCTAGCTCTATAATACCAGAGTATACTCCTCCACCTATACATGGTACAGCCTATCCCAAGAGAAAAAACAACATCTTGGTTTTTGGTGACGAAAGTTCAAGGTGTGTAGCTGGTGGACTACTTGACTTGACCAATAAATACTGGATCTATGGAGAATGTCATCCTGCTATTGCAATTTCCCAGATGGCTGGCAAGCTCTTTAATTTGACGGTGGGATTTAATAGTATGGATAATGTTATAGTAACTATAAACTTAAGTTCTATTGGTTTTCCTAAATTATTTTATTTAAAAAGATTGTTTTCTATCGGTAAATACACTAATTTAATTTTTTCTTTGAGTTACTCAGATTGGGAATGTGACAAATATGTAAGGTTTGTTTCCTTTTGTCAAAAATTTCTTAAATGCCAAAATGCATCAATTAGAATTCTAGATAATAATAAAGTGAATGGCAGATTTCGACTATCAAGGCTGTCTTTTTTAAAGAATATTTTGTCTTACGTAAGGAACAGTAGTATTTTAGAACGCATTTTCACAGTTTCTAACATAAAGTATTGTGTTATTGAAGATTCAGCTATCAAAAACAATCAAGAATTGCCAAGTACTAAACAAGGTTCTTTTTTAGATTAAAAAACTCTGACAAGAGCATATCTTTGCTGCTTTTAAATGTTCAATCTGTTCGTAACAAGGTTGATAATCTGTTTATTGTTTTGGAGGGCTTGGGTTTTCCTAATATTGTTTTGTTGACGGAGCATTGGCTTAGGCCTGATGAACCACTGTATATTCCGGGTTATTTTGTTGTTTCGAAGTTCTGTAGAGAGAACTCCTTGCATGGCGGTACCGTTGCCTTGGTGGATGAATGTATTTTTGATAGTTTCTGTAATTTTGATAATCTTGATCAATTGCTTGTCGAAATGCAATTTGAATTTTCTATTATTCATTCCGAAAAATTAAAATGTTTTATTGTTTGTATCTATAGATCCCCAAATTGTAATTTAAACGTCTTTCTGGAAAGACTTGAATTTCTGTTGTGCCAGTTTCCTATAAATAATACGGTTATACTTGCTGGTGACCTTAACATTGATTTTGACAACACAGATAATAGATCTACTATCAATTTGTTAAACTTGTTTGAATCTTTTAATCTTAACATGCATGTTCATGAATCTACGCGCATTACTGAAACTTCATCCACTAAAATAGACTACATTGTCTCGAATATAAATGATAACGTATCTTGCACCGTGTTTGATCCAGACCTTTCCGATCATAGAGCTATTTTAGCCACCATTCCTATCAATTACGCTAGCAATAATGACACTGCAAAGTTGGGAAGAATTTACAGCACCAGCAATTTTCAAAAATTTCGACAATCTTGTGAGTCATTTGAATGGGATTCTATTTTCAGAGAGCCAGAGCCTTTGGGTGCTTTTCATAACGCTCTGGCAAACAAGGACAGCAAAGCTTTCCCTCTTCGCCGCCTAAAACCAAAGCGCAAAGAGAGGAAAAAGTGGCTAACACCAGGAATACGTACTTCTGCCTCCAATTTAAGATTCCTTAACAGCCTTAGGAGGGCTTACTCTGATAACGCTTTCCTGCAATCTTACTATCTTTTATACAAAAAAATATATAGAAATGTTATTCGAAAAGCCAAAGAGCTATTTTACTGTAAACGCCTGCTCAACTCTAATAATAGTCAAAAGGAATCATGGGCCATCGTTAACGAAATCACCAAAAGAGCAAATAAATCACCTCAAATAAACATCGATACAAACCTCTTGAATAAATATTATTGCTCAGTTGCTGATAATTTGACAAGAGACTTACCATTCAATACTGATCCACTCATTTATCTGTCAAACATCAACAGCCCCGAACATTTTCATGCGTTCTACCCAACTACCCCTCAAGAAATCCTAAAAACAATTCGTTCCATGAAAAATAAAAAAGCTGCAACTGATGATGGTATTTCATTGAAAATTCTGGAGAGCCTTCCCAACACAGCCATCGCTACTTTATCAGATGTAATCAATTTTTCTTTTGTGACAAGTACCTTTTCATCGTCTTTTAAGATTGCTAAAATCCTCCCTCTATACAAAGGTGGCGATCACGCCTCTCCCTCTAACTATCGACCAATTTCTTTATTGTCAACGCTGTCAAAACTTATTGAGAGTCTGGTAAAATCTCGTCTCATGTCATTCTTAGACGAAAACAATATTATAACTAAGGATCAATTCGGATTTCAGGCAAAAAAAAATACTTCTGACGCTATGTTTCAGTTTCTCTCGAGTGTTTTCCAGTCCATCAACGAGCGTGAAGCTTCGGCGGCGGTATTTTGTGATTTATCTAAGGCATTTGATTGCGTAAGTCATGAGGTATTGCTGCGGAAGCTTTACGCCTATGGTGTCCGTGGAGGGGCCTTGGAGTGGTTTGGGAGCTACTTGCGTTGCCGTGAGCAATTCGTTCACGTGGATGGGGTGTCATCTAGCAGACAACGTAGCTCATGCGGCGTTCCCCAAGGATCTGTACTAGGACCCGTTCTCTTCTTAATCTATATAAATGATTTAACCCAACTTGAAATCTCTGGGCTGTTCACGTTGTTTGCTGATGACACAACCGTTCTCTGGCGCAACAGGGACTTAAATCAACTGCAACAGGACATTGAATCCGATCTTAAGCAGATCAGACGGTGGTGTGATGCAAATCGTCTGTGCTTAAACATGTCGAAAACTCATCTGATTGGTTTCAACTGTGCTCTTCGGGACCCTGACATGGGCGACAACTCCATCTCAATTGTGGATAACTCCAAATTTTTGGGGCTCATAATCGATGAAAATCTTAAATTTTATCCTCACATTCTGAAACTAAATAAAAAGTTGGCCTCTGGCTGTTTTTCGGTGAGAGCTACCTTCCAAGAACTGGGTAAAGAAGTAGCACGCAATGTTTATTTTGCTCTTGTCGAGTCACATATTAGATATGCATTACCCTTTTGGGGAGCCTGTGCACAAAATCTTTTTCAGTCTGTCTTTATTCTCCAAAAGCGAGCAGTTCGGAATTTATGCAATGCCCATCCAAGAACACACTGTAGACATCTCTTCATCCAAAATGGCATTCTTACTCTACCCTCCCTTTTCATCCTGGAAACAGCATGCTTAATTTATAAAAATAAGCAAAGCCTTCCAAGGCATCAGCAAGTACATCAAACCCGTCAAAACAATAATATCCCTTTACCAATACCTCACTTGAACCTGGTTAAGAGATCTCTCATCTACAATGGCCTCAAAATATACAATAATGTTGGTTTGCGGATTAGGAATGCTTCAACATCAAAGGCTTTTCGGAACCTACTAAAGGCATACTTATTGAAAAAGGCATTTTATACCATTGACGAGTTCTTAGAGCAATCCTAATTTAGTGTGTTATTTAATC